GGGGTGGCCACGATTCAGGCAGGGACCGAGCAGCGCGGGACGGGAGAAGACAACCAGCCAGCGGCGGGCAGAGGCTGGGCTCACCGTGCGGTGGGAGCCATCGGCCACGTCACTGGAGTTGAGGGCAAAGATGGCTCCCCTGGCGCCCACGTAGAGGATGCCCCGGTCGTCCTCCAGCAGCAGGGTGCTGTAGTTGAGGGTGCGCATGCTGAAGTGCCGGACGCCCAATAGCTCTGCAAAGGGAACAGAGGGCTGAGGGAGGACCCCGGGGCAGGCACGGCGTGAGCCACCGGGGAAAGCAAGAGCATGGAGCCGTCTTCCCACCCAGAGCGGGTGGGAAGGCACCCACTGAGGTTAACAGGCAGATGGTTCTGGGTGCCGGTGGTTACAGCAGGAGGAAAGGAAGAGGGGAGGTTTGGTAGGAGGCGAAAGGCACTAATTGGGCTCAGGCTCTCATTATTTCTCACTGCTAATAAAAACAGCAGCTCAGGGGTGGGAGCTGCAATGTCCATGCCCAGCATGGACCTGCCACACTGTTTGGGGAACCGCTGGAGGAAGCAAAAACACGCCAGTAGCGACCCCGGGTCTGAACTGAACCCAGCCAGCCCAAAAGGAAGGATGCAAAAAACCTGAACCGAAACTGCCGTGCAAGGGGAGGGCTTCTGCAGCGAGGCTGGCGCTCCCTGCCCACCAAGCCAGAGAAACCATCCAATTTGGGGTGCTGAGAAGTGTGAGGTGGGACTCGGCCCTGGCCAGAGGGACCCCAAGTCAGGCTTGGAACCTCCCGCCGGAGGAGGAGAAAGTCCCGTGGGGCTTGGGACCCTGGAGGCAGCTGGCGAGAGAATGACCCCCCCAAAAGGAGGCATTGCCTAGGGATAAAAGGGCACCCCAGCTGCAAATGAAACCCTCTCCCACCGTCGACCGCTGAGGTGGGCTTCACTAACGGCGTCAACAAAGTCGTGTGAATGCCCAAGGCACGATGACACTGTGGGGCTGGCTGACACCACAGAGGCTGGAGGCCAAGAGCCCAGTGGTAATTAGAGAAAATCATGGAAGAAAGCTCCCTGCTGACTATTTGGGCCCAGCCTGTGTGTGATGCCCAGCTCGGCACACCCTCCAAGGGCTGCTGCGCAGGGCCAGGGGCTGGCCAAGGCTGGCTCCCTGCACGTTCTTGTC